AATCAACACCCATGGAAGCAGCAGTCAAGAAATCAAACGATACATTGCACTGGGCAATTCTCCTGCAAAAGATCTCTTTAAAGTGTTAAAAAGCAAAGATGTCACCTTGAAGACTAAGGTGAGTCTGACCCAAGCCATGGTGTTTTCAGTCTCCTTATATGCATGCAAAAGCTGGGCAATGAATAAGGAAGACCGAAGAAGAATTGACGCCCTTGAATTATAGTGTTGGCAAAGAATATTGAATATACCATGGACTGCGAAAAGAACAAATAGATCTGTCTTGGAAGAAGTACAGCCACAATGCTCCTTGGAAGCAAGGATGACAAGACTTCGTCTCACATACTTTGGACATGTTATCAGGAAGGATCAGTCCCTGGAGAAGGACATCATGCTTGGTAAAGTAGCAGTGTAAAAAAGGAAGACCCTCAACAAGACGGATTGACACAGTAGCCCCAACAATGGTCTCAGGCATAACAATGATTGTGAGGATGGCACAGGAACCAGTTGTGTTTCCCTCTGTTGTACATAGGGTCGCTATGAGTCGGAACCGACTCAACGGCACCTAACAACAGCAACAATGTTTATGTTATGTTTAGGTGCGAGTTTCTTCACTAATGTTGCCTGGCACTTAGTGAGGCCTTTCTGTCTGCAAACTTGAGTCTTCTTTGAGAGACAGCAGAGCGTAGTGTGACTTGGGCTATGGAGTCCAGAAGAATTGACATATAATATGGAGCAAATTACTCAGCCACTGTGAGTTTAGGTGCCTCATCTGAAAAGCGTGCATAATAATGGCATGTGTTTTGAAGTTCGGATGAGTTGTTGCACAGAGTACATATCATGCTGGTAGGCTGTGTGCACTGAATTCCATTACTAATTCTTCAATTTAGGGAACTTTTCTTCTGTGATCACTTGGATTATTTCTTTCCCATTGTGTATTCCGTAGTTTGCTATTAAAATTCCTTTAATGTATTGCTTTTATAGCCTCTGCATTCTTTAGCAGTTTAATCATTCTTATCATTTTGTTACCCCCTCCTTTTTTTTTCTTAGATTTCTGGAGGGAATTCCTTATGCCAGTTTTCTGAATCACTAATTTCTTTTTCTGTTCCATTCCCCCTTTAGGAATTTTGATTAATTGTAGTTTTGATCTAAAAGCAAGCTTTTATTATTTTAGATTGTTTAATTTTCACATATGTAATCTTTTTCAAAATAAAAAAGCTATTAAGCATAAAAGTGATACATACTTACTATAAAAATTTATATAATAAAATTATCACTGCTAACTTTTTTTGATGAATATTTGCCAGGGTTATTTTGATTACATGTTACCATATAATTAAAACAACAACAACAAAAAACCTGGCCTGGCAAATATTCATCAAAATGTTAGCAGAGGTTATTTTATTTGTGTATATGTATAAAGGGTCTTGTTGGCACTGCTAACCAAAAGGTCAGTGGTTTGAACCCACCCAGTGGCTCCGTGGGAGACAGATGTGGCAGTCTGCTTCTACAAATTACAGCCTAGGAGACCCTATGGGGCAGTTCTACTCTGTCATATGGAATCGCTATGAGTTGAAATCGACTTGACAGCAACAGGTTTGGGTTTTTGTCTATATATATGAAAGATCTCACTATAATATTGTAATTACTTCCTTTTCAACTTAATAATTTAACATATATTTACACCAGTAAACATAGATATATATTATCCTTTTAAATGATAAAATAATATTCTCTTGGATTGTATTTAAAATTCAAATAGGGCTTTTAAAGTGTTCTCCCCTTTTATGGAGAAGAAAACATTTGCTATGATTTCTCAGAATGGTCTCCTTTATTGAAATACTGGATATCTTCACATATCTAGTGATTGTTTGAGACAAGTTCTGTCAGAAATTGTGTTATTTTCTGTCTGATTACGTTTGTCATAAACACATTTGCTGAAGAAGTGGTGCACTTGGCTGTGAGGAATAAGGAGGGGTTATTGGTAAGACAGCTGCATGACAGGGAAGGCCACTCCCTTGCTGAGTGTGTTTATTCTCTCTGTGGAGCAGCGGTGGAGCCAGAGATCCATATGTCTGTGTAAAGTGAAGACAGAGCTCTTGGGGCAGTGAAGTTTACTGATAGGCCAAGTAGCTACTTTTTCCCCTCTCCTATTTGTCATTTGTTTGTTATAACAGTCCATGTTATATTAATTGGAGCAAATGCTCTTGGTAGCCTCCTTTTGCCACAGTACCTTAGCTTTGATTAGCAGGCTGCTTCACCAGAAGAAGGCTAAGGATGGGCCTAAAAGCTGGCTACCTTGTGTGGGGATACCGGTTGAGTTTCATAAATACTAGGATTTGACTTCCATTAACTACGCAGCCCACCTTTGTCCCTGGCCCCTGCTGCTCTGAACTTGAAGATTTCCTGGGATTCTGCAGTGGAATGCTATTCACTTACTTCCTCAGAGCGCTCCTCCTTTGCTGTGTTGAATTGCAGACTAGTAGGTAACTTGGTTGGCCTAATCCTACCTGTGCCGTATCTAGCAGAAATCTCTCAAAGTGCCTGGGATTCCAATGCCACCCTTCTCTGTTTAGTAAACACTGATAAAAAAAATTATCCCCTAATTGTTAGGTCATGCCAGTAGGTTTTGGGGAGGAGAGAATTTAAACCCATAGACTCAACTTACCCTCTTGAAAAGGAACTCCTTTCTCTATTGGTCAAAGAAATATACGGATTTACCTTTGTAAAATGCTTCCCTGAAGTCTATGTGTATCACATCTCCTGCTTTTCCTTTATCTGTCTGATGTTTCTGTTTCTGTAATAGATGATTCAACACGTGTTCCTCTTGGAAAAAGCAGGGACTACATCAATGCTAGTTATATTAGAATAGTAAATTCTGGAGAAGAGTATTTTTACATTGCTACCCAAGGACCACTGCCAGGTACCGTAAGTGATTTTTGGCAAATGGTTTTGGAAAATCAAGCTAATGTTATTGCCATGATGACCAGAGAGGTAGAAGACGGAACTGTCAAATGTCACCGTTACTGGCCCATCTCTCTGGATAAACCTTTGGAATTGAAATACTTCAGTATCTTCATGGAGAACTACCAGATACTTCAAGATTTCATCATTCGAATACTTAAAGTTGTGGAGAAGACCGTAAGTTTTTTAAAATCAGTATTAGATATGTTTCACTACATAAGCAGACATATCAGGACTAGCAGTTAGGAATAGGATGGGATGGAGAACTGAGAATGCTTTTATAAGTAATTCCCTTTTACTACTCCCTAGTACCATAAGGAAACCCTGGTGGCGTAGTGGTTAAGAGTTCAGCTGCTAACCAAAAGGTTGGCAGTTTGAATCCACCAGGCGCTCCTTGGAAACCCTATGGGACAGTTCTCCTCTGTCCTATTGGAATCAACTCAACAGCAGCAGGTTTGGGTTTTTTTTTTTTTTTTTTTTTTTGGTATCATAAACTAAGCCATTGCCACTTCCACTTTGGCTTAACAAAACTCTAACTAGAGAGAAGAAAAAATGGAAACAGAGATGTGGGGTAGGGGAAGTGAGTATTAGAAATGGTCTTATCCTAGGATGTACATAGGCTGCTTCTGCTGAATGTGACAGATATATATTGAGCCCTTAATGTGTGCCATATATGCCTGGCACTGCTGGTAGTTAGCAAGTAGTGGGGACATGGGTACACTCCTGATACTTTCAAATACTGTGTTCAGTGGTAATAACCAAGGTCTGTATGGAATACTCTGGGGGCTCAGAAGGGAGGCTCTTAGCTTTATTTGGGGCTTGGGGTAAGGTTTGCTGGAGGAGATGATGTCTGGATTGAGAATTACTCAAATGAGAAAGATAGGAAGAGGAAATAGATAAGAAAATGTAAATAAGCATGAGGTATCTGTAGAGAAATGTAAGTAGTTAAGTGTTGCTGAATGTCAATGTTCAGTGCAGGTAGTAATGAGAGATGAGATGAGGCTATAGATGAGGCCAGCCATAGATGAGGCCAGCCAGAACGTGAAACGTCTTAGATTTTGCCTAAGGACCACACATTTTAATATGAACATAATTGGGAGACATTACAGAATTTTAGTAGGGAGTAGCATGATCAACTAGCAAAGTTGGCATTGGGATGGAAAGCAGAGACATAGGTGTTTTGCAGATAAAATTGGCAGACTTATAACTTATGACTTATGAGTGACAGGACGGGTCAAAAATTGCTGTATCCAGTTCAGTAGCCACATGTAGCTATTTAGGTTTAATTTCAAATATTTAAAATTACATTAAATAAAAAATTCAGTTCCTCAGTTGCAGTAGCCACATTTCTAGTGTTCATTAGTCAAATGTGACTAATGACTAACATATGAGACAGCACAGATACAGAATATTTGCATCATTTTAGAAAATTCTGTTGGGCAATGCTGGTCTAGAATAATTCATGGGTTTCTTGCTTTAATGGATTTGGAAAATAAGAAAGGAATTGTTTGTAGGAGAAGATGATGAGTTGCATCTCTCTAAGTGAATTTAGTAGGTGATACATGAGTTTAGCAGGAGTGAAAGGGGTAGAAGTTGAGCAGGAAACTTGTAGAGAGTGGTGAAGTTTGGAGTCATCACCAAAGAAGTTGATTGACATACAGCCAATGACAAGAAAAAAGGTTGCTGAGTGATGCTGAGGTTGTTGGAACCCATAAATCTGTAATAGCAATAGAATACACAGCTTTGTTATTATTTCTAACAGCCTAGCTATCGGATCCCTAAAGACAAGATTGTGGGGCTGATCCAGGTGGGATATTGTCCAGTATATGTGGCAAGAGTCAAAGGAGCAAAGGAATTAGCAGTTTGGTAAGAGAATGATTCAGATAAACAAACATGAAGTCTAAAGTCTAAGCTACTCAGAGAGGTGAATGGGATCAGAAGGGCTAGTCAATGAGGAGACATTGGAGGATTTAAAGGACAGGAGATCGCCATTTGGTCACATTGTTGTTGGATTTAAGTGAAGCACAAATGAGCTAGTAGGATAAGAGCTTCTGGTCAGATGATATTGGAGGTTAAGAACTGAACATTACATGTGATGGTAAGTCCAAGGAGTGGTCATTATTGTGAGGGCTAGAAGAAAGAAAGTGGTCTTCCCTGCAAGAGGGAACTAAGCATGCTGTGACATTAGAGTCTCTTGAGACCTGAATTTACCTGGGATGATGTCAGAATACGTGGTAGGGGGAAGACCATGATCTTCAGTGTATATGGAGGATCTACCAGGAGGTTTAGCCACTGGATGATAGCAAGGAGAAGATGAAGCTTAGAGGTATGAACTCAAAAGGAAGAGGGGATTTTATACAATGAGAAGAAATAATGAACTAGAAACAGAAGTGGGCAGCAAGGAGTATGCAGCCTTACCTCTGAGCTGTGTGGCATCTCGAGCATGGGAGACTAGGTAGCCTCGATTAAAGAGGCCTGCAGAGCAAAGTCCCTGTTGGAGGCAAGACAAGGAGGCGGAAGAAGCATTCAGTGAAGTGACAGAGTTTCAAAGAGTTTACTGTGGGATGGGGGAGGTGAGTGCAAAGGGAGAGGGTGAAGAGAAAGGAGTGTGGAGAAGGGAGAGGAAGAGATAGAGTTGGGAAAATGAGGATCAGAGCACAGAGTGGGACCAGGGCTACCAGGAATCATAATAATGGCTCACATGGAGAGCTTGCTAGCTGCGTGTTGGGCCTGGTGTGTGCACTGTGCATGTGGGGACACATTCGATCTTTCTCTCCCCTGGTGTGTGTTGATTGCCTGCTATTAACCAGGCATTGTGCTAGGTGCTGGGGATAGAAGACAGATACAGTATCAACCTTTAGAACACTTACGTCTAGTGGGGAATGAAGACTCTACACAAGTCAGTTCCTTTTGTCACTATACTTTTTCTTTTTTTTTTAATAATATTTTATTGTGTTTTTGGTGAAAGTTTATACAGCAGTTTAGGTACCCATTCAACAATTTCTGCACAAGTTGTTCAGTGACATTGGTTACATTCTTCACAATGTGTGAACATTCTCATTATTTCCCTTCTAGTCATTCTGTTTCCATTAATCTAGTTTTCCCTGCCAATTTACATTCTCATCTTTGTTTTAAAGTGATTGTTGAACAGTTGGTCTCATATAGGTGATTTTTTTAAAAAAGCATGGTACTTATGGGTGATATTCATTATTTTTTGAGCCAATTTGTTTTTTAACTACAAGATGACATCAGGGGTTAGTATTGGTTCAAGGTTTGAAGAGTATCTCAGGGCAATAGTCTTGGGGGGTCCTCCAGTCTCAACCAGTCCAGTAGGTCTGGGTTTTTTTTTTTTTTTTTAGGAATTTGAGGTTCTATTCCATATTTTTCTCCCATTCTATCAGGGTCCGTCTATTGTGCCCCTACTTAGACCAGTTGGTAGTGTTAGCGAAGCACCATCTACTCTGGTCTTAGGGTAGATGAGACCGTGGTTTGTGTAGACTATTTGTCCTGTAGACTAGTTTCTTCTTTGAGTCTTTGGTTTCCTTCTTTTTCTTTTGCTCTAAAGATAGAACCAATAGTTCTATCTTAAATGGCCACCACAAGCTTTTAAGACCCCAGACACTACTCACCAAACTAGGATATAGACCATAACTTTATGAACTATATTATGCCAATTGACTGAGACGTCCCACATTATGGTCCTAATCCTTTAAGCCCAGAAATCTAATTCCATGATGTGTTTGGTTATGTCTAAGAAGTGTCCATGACTGTGTCCCATATGTACTTTATTATGTATATGAATATATGTGCATACAGTCACATAGATGCATATACATGTACATACGCATATACCTATATATACACATAAATACATACCTATATACATATGCAGAGCCCTGGTAGTGCAGTGGTCAAGAGCTCAGGCTGTTAACCAAAAGGTTAGCAGTTCAAATCCACCAGGCTCTCCTTGGAAACCCTATGGGGCAGTTCTACTCTGTCCTGTAGGATCGCTTTGAGTCAGAATCAACTCGACAGCAACGGATATATACATATATGCTTACATACATGTATATATACCCACACATACATTTTTTGGTTATTTTTGTTGTTTCAAAATTATATGTGCCGTAGCAGATACCAAGAGGTCCTTTTTTCTTGTGTACTTTTTAGTGACATCATTTACGTTCATTAAGTTGTGTACACTTCACCCTCCACAAGTTCTGAGTGCTGTATGATATGTGTTGGGAAGGACAGTGAGTATGCTTGGAGAATATAGGTGAGGTGTGTGGCACAGAGGAATTGTCTGTCTGCAAGGATGTAAATGCTGAGGGTGAGTCTGAGTTCAATCAGAGGAGACTTCACCTTGTGGAGTCTTGGCAAGGGGCTCTAGGATGGTGGCCTTCAGGCTGAGGCTTCTGGGGCTCAAGTTTGGAGAGTCTGCATCAGGGGTTCAGTCTTCGTGGCGCTGAGTCAGGAGATCTGAGGACCACCTTGATAAAGCTTCTCGGGGGCCAAATATAGCAGCATAGATGTAGCCCCTGCAATATATAGGCATACCTCGTTTTGTTGCACTTCGCAGATATTGCATTTTTTACAAATTGAAGGTTAGTGGCAACCCTGCCCTGAGCAAGTCTGTCTGCGCCATTTTTACAACAGCATGTGCTCGTCTCGTGTCTTTGTGTCACATTTTGTTAATTCTCACAATATTTCAAACTTTTTCATTACTGTTATATCTGTTATGGTGATCTGTGATCAGTGATCTTTTATATTATTATTGTAATTGTTTTGGGGTACCACAAACCATGCCCAAGTAAGATGGCAAATTGAATTAATAGATGTTGGGTGTGTTCTGACGGCTCCACAGACCGGCCGGTCCCCAGTCTCTCACCCTCTCCTCAGGCCTCCCTGTTCCCTGAGACAGGCAGTATTGAAATTAGGCCAGTTAATAACCCTATAATGGCCTTTAAGTGTTCAAGTGAAAGGAAGAGTGGCACGTTTCTCACTTTGAATAAAAAGCTAGAAATGGTTAAGCTTAGTGAGGAAGGCATGTTGAAAGCTGAGATGGGCTGAAATCTGGGCTTCTTGTGCCAAACAGTTAGCTAAGTTGTGAATGCAAAGGAAAAATTCTTAAACGAAATTAAAAGTGTCATTCCAGTGAACGCACAAATGATAAGAAAGTGAAAACAGCCTATTGCTGATATGGAAAAAGTGTTAGTGGTCTGGATAAACATCAGACCAGCCACAATATTCCCTTAAGCCAAAGCTTAATCCGGAGCAAGGCCCTAACTCTCTTCAATTCTATGAAGGCTAAGAGAGGTGAGGAAGCTGCAGAAGAAAAATTTGAAGCTAGCAGAGATTGGTTCATGAGGTTTAAGAAAAGAAGCCATCTCCTAACACAAAAGTGCAAGGTGAAGCAGCAAGTGCTGATGTAGAAGCCACAGCAAGTTATCCAGAAGATCTAGCTAAGATATTTGATGAGGTGGCTACACTAAACAAGAGATTTTCAATGTAGGCCATATTGGAAGAAGATGCCATCTAAGACTGTCAAAGCTAGAGAGGAGAAGTCAATGCCTGGCTTCAAAGGTTCAATGGACAGCCTGACTCTCTTGTTAGGGGCTAATGCTTCGTGCCTGCTAACACAACATCCATTCTGTACCTCATGGATTGAGGAGTTATTTTGACTTTCAAGTCTTACTATTTAAGAAATACATTTTATAAGGTTGTAGCTGCCATGGATAGTGATTCCTCTCATGGATCTGGGCAAAGTAAATTGAAAACCTTCTGGAAGGGATTCACCATTCTAGATGCCATTAAGAACATTTGTGATTCATGGGAGGATGCCCAAATATCAGTATTAACAGGAGTTTGGAAGAAGTTGATTCCAATCCGTGTGGATGACTTTGAGGGGTTCAAGACTTCAGTGGAGTAAATAACTGCAGATCAGGTGGAAGTAGCAAGAGAACCAGAATTAGAAGTAGAATCTGAAGATGTGACTGAATTGCTGCAATCTCATGATAAAATGTTAATGGTTGAGGAATGCTTCTCATGGATGAGCACAGAAAGTGGTTTCTTGAGATGAAATCTCCTCCTGGTGAAGATGCTGTGAACATTGTTGAAATGACAACAAAGGATTTAGAATATTACATAAACGTGATTGATAAAACAGTGGCAGGGTTTGAGAGGATTGACTCCAATTTTGAAAGAAGTTCAACTGTGGGTAAGATGCTATCAAACAGCATTGCATGCTACGGAGAAATTGTTGATGAAAGGAAGAGTCAATCGATGCTGCGAACTTCATTGTTTTATTTTAAGAAATTGCCACAGCCACCCCATCCTTCAGTGACCACCACCGTAATCGTTCAGGAGCCATCATCAACACTGAAGCAAGACTCTCTGCCAGCGAAAAGATTACAACTCGCTGAGGGCACAGATAATGGTTGGCATTTTTTAGCAATGAAGTGTTTGTTTTTGTTTTTGTTTTTTTTTCCACAAGAGGGAAGGAGAATCAAGATCGACAGTCCAAGGCTGACTGCCATGAGGCAAATTTCGAACAAGCAAGTGATTTTTCTGACCTCTGCCTCATAGCAGTCAGCCTTGGGCTGTTGACCTTGACTCTCCCTCCCCGTGTGAAGTTAGAGGAGATCAGACACCACCTCCATCAGGCCATTTTTACACCTTGTCCTATGCATGCTTTATAGGACTTTTTAAAAAAATTTTTTTATTGCACTTTAGATGAACAATAAAGTATTTCTTAATTAAGGTATGTACATTTTTTTAGACATAATGCTATTGCACACTTAAGAGACTACAGTATAGTGTAAACATAACTTTTTTACGCACTGGGAAACCAAAAAATTTGTGTGACTTACTTTATTGCAACATTTGCTTTATTGTGGTGATCTGGAACTGAACCCGCAATATCTCCGAGGAATGCCTGTAGGACATGGTGATAGCTTTCCTCAACTTCGTATCTTCACGAGATTTTTAAGTATTATTTTCATCATTCAATTTAGTGTACCAGTGACTCGAACTTTAGTTTTCTATTTGGTATTAAGTTAAAAGAGGTCTTACATGTAATCCCCCCCCCCACTGCCATTTATATCTCAGAGGACACTTCTGCTTTGGTCAAGTGATATGTAATATTGAAAACATCAGTATCTAAAGTGATTTAGAGGTTTCCTAGGTTTATAATTCCAGGGCAAAATTTTTTAAAAATAAAGGATTCCAATAGACACTTTGAATTAGAAGGAGGTCTCTGAACACCAGCATCTTTATTAAAGGAACTTAGGAAAAATAGATGCATTAGGGGGAGGCAGAGGAGGAGAGAACCCCATTTTGAGTTTTTTTACAAGGGTCCCCATTGAAGTAAGGTGAGGGCCCCATACTGGGGGAAGGGTGATCCCTTTAGAAGGGATGATGGGCAAACTCAAAGTGCTTTCTCTGCCAACCCTGAGATCTTTGTAACTCTCCTTCAAGAGGACTCAGCATAGGAGTGGGGGACACAGTCGCCTTGCATGGCCGTTTGATCACTCTGTACTCATTGCCAGAGAAATTCCCTGTACCCCAATCAGGTAGCTTGACAGTATCAACTGGTTTTAATTAAATTTAGTATCATGATAGTTAGGCTAAAGTTGTTTGCCTTTTTATCTTACTCCTAACACACCAGCTCATCTTTTGCTCTAAGTATTTTTGAATCTTGGTTTTTCTGCAGCCTGATGGCACAGAAGAAAGATGGTAGATTAGGATCCAAGAGGCCTGCATTATATGTAGTCCCAGTTCTGAATGTCTTAGGCTTATGACCTAAGCATAAATCTCTCAATCCCTCTAATACTTATGTCTTCGTCTGTAAAATGAAGATAAAATGTGCCTGCCTCACAGGGTGATGTGAGGATTAAATGAGAGAATGCATGCAAAGTACCTGGCATGTAGTAAATGCTTAGTTTGTGTTACCTGTTAGTATTCTCATTATTGTTGTTATTGTGTTTTCTGTAAAAGGAGTTCCTGGCAACTTCTAGAATTCTTACAAATATGAAATGAGGTTTTAAGTATTCATTTGAAAGCTCTGTATAATACCATATAGCCATGATTATTATTGTTGTTGTTAGAAATGAAATGAGATTTGTAGTATAAGAAATGGATCATTTGTCTCTCAGTCTCCTCCTCCTCCTTCTTTATTTCTCTCTCAGTCTCTTATCTCAATTTCTTTCACTCTCTCTCAACAGAAGGGAACTATTCACTTTGTGAGACAGATGCAGTTCACTAACTGGCCAGACCATGGCACTCCTGCCTCAGCAGAGGACTTTATCAAGTTTGTTCGTTTAGCAAGGAAGAGTCACCAGAGGGGACCCATCGTTGTCCACTGCAGTGCTGGCATAGGCCGGACTGGGGTACTCCTGTGTGTGGATGTTGTGTTCTGTGCCATCGAAAGGAACTTTCTGGTAAGTGTGTGAATCAAGCAGATAAAACAGTGCTGTTATTAAACACAGTACTTTTAATAACCTTGCAGTATCGGAAGACTCACATTAGGCCTTCAGGAACCACTTGGTAAATTGAAAGCTCATGCAGCCTAACTTGCTGCAAGTTACTTAACCTCTATGAACCTTTGGTTCCTGGGGCTGGTTGTGAGAATTAAATCACATACTGCAAGTAAGTGGCTGAGGGCAGTGTCTGGTATGTAGTAGGTTCACAGTTCATTTTCCCTCTACTGTCTCCCACCCTACACCTTCCACACCTTTTTTTATAATATTGTTAGAGAATATACTTATTTTTAATGAATAGAAATACATTTCCATGAGCACACTGGCAAAAACATTGACTTTGAAGTTAATGAGAGTTCCCTGGGTCTGACCGCCAGTTTTGCCACATGCTTTAGATTTTGGTGATTGTGCAGATTGCTCATCTCTCGAGCTTAGTTTTCTCATATGTAAAAGAAGAAGAAGAATATTGTTGGATTTGAGAGACGCAGTCATTAACAACCCTTTACTTTCCTCCTAGATTTAGAACCAGCTAAGAGACATAGGAATCAGACAGATGATGATTATACCATCACCTTTATGATTGACTAAACTGAGTAGGGAATGCAACTTTAGATCTGTGGCCAAAAAGGCTTACTAGCCTTTCTTCCCTGATTAGACAGATTGGTGCCTCAGGCCCTGACTCAGCTGAGTGACTGCAGGCCTCACCTGTAGGGAACAGATAAGAATGTGTGTGTACTCAGTTTATAAAGACATTATTCTACATTCTACCTTGGTGAGTAGTATCTGGGGTCTTGAAAGCCTGTGAGCAGCCATGTAAGATACTCCACTGGTCTCACCCCTTCGGGAGCAAGGGAGAATGAAGAGAACAGGATACAAGGAAAAGATTAGTCCAAAGGACTAATGGACCACAGCTACTAATGGACACAGCTACCAAGGCCTCCACCAGACTGAGTCCAGTACAGCTAGATGGTACCCGGCTACCACCACTGACTGCTCTGACTGGGATCACAACAGAGGGTTCTGGACAGAGCTGGAGGATATAGAACAAAATTCTAACGCACCAAAAAAAGACCAGATTTACTGGCCTGAAAGAGACTGGAGAAACCCCGAAAGTATGGCCCCCAGACCCCTTCTAGCTCAGTGGTGAAGTTCACCATTCAGCCGGGGATTGGACAGCCCCATATAACAAAATGGGACTATTGAGGCACAGCAGTTCAGGGACAAGGACTAGAAGGCAGAAGAGGATAGGAAAGCTGTTAATAGGGACCTCAAGGTTGAGTAAGGACAGTGCTGACATGTAGTGGGGTTGTTAATCATTATCATAGGGCAACATGTGTACTAACTGTTTAATGAGAAACTATTTTGTTCTGTAAACCTTCATCTAAAGTGAGAATAGCAGCACAACTGGAAGAACGTAATCGATGTTACTGAATTGTGCATGTAGAAATTTTTGAAATGGTGTATCTTTGGCTATGTATATTTTCACCAAAAAAAAAAAGTTGAGAAGGGAGAGGGATGGCATGTCGTGGGGTTGTTAACCAATGTCATAAAACAATATGTGTACTGACTGTTTAATGAGAAACTATTTGTTCTGTAAACCTTCACCTAAAGTACAATAAAAAAATAAAAAGAATGTGTACTGACGATGGGCTCACTCCAAGAGAGAGGACAAAGGGAAGGCGCTGAAGACTCTGGGTGGTGGAAGGCCAGGTGTGTCACTCTAGTTGAAATCTGTCCCTTGTGGAAACTCGTGGAATGAAGACTGAGTTGAGTGTTCCACCTCTCACTGTGCTGCGTGCTGGGCCCGAAGCCTGAAGGACACTCAGTTTAATTGCAGCTGTTAAAGTGATTAGGAAACTGGGAGCTTTAACTTCTTTAGGGATACTGCCACTGATTTATGTATTCATTAAACACTGAGCATCTATTATGTACCCAGGGATGCAAAGATTTAAAAAAAATCCATAATCTAGGACATCAAAGAGCTCACCTCCTAGTGGTAACAGGCAGTTAGCTATAATATTCTTTGGTTCATCCAAGGAGTTTGTATTGAGCACTCACGATGTGCTAAGCGGTCTGCCAGGAGCTGGATATGTCGAGAATAAAACTGCTGTAGCACCTCCCTTCCTGTAGCTCCTAAAGCAATACAGTAAGTACTGCAGTTGGAGGGTTGTAATGCCATGTAGAGGTGGAGAGAGGAGTGGGTGTTTTCTACTGCAGAGGGGTGTCTACCTCCTCCTCTTCCCCACCTTCCCCTTTCTCACTCTGAGCCAGTGCTGGGTGTATGCAGTGCTCGGTGGAGGAGAATATTTGTATCCTGCCTTTGGATATTCCCAGAGTCACGATTCAGGGTCAGAACTGGCAACAAATCCCCCAAGATCTAGCTAGTTTTCGAGCTGGAGAACTGCAGAGCTAATGGACTATGTTGACTTTTTGTGTTTTCATCTTAATTATTCTCCCCTGAGGTTTCTGAGCCACTTCAGGGCTGAGTTAAATGGGAATGGATCTCAAACACTATCTGAGTTAGTGGAACAAAGAGCATTCCATCATCAGCCTTGAAGTATTCCTGGTATAAGCCTGGGCCTCACTGGACCTTGGGAAAGAATTGCAAATTCTGAGACTCTAGTTTGAAATCCTATCCCTGCCACCTTTAGCTGTGACTTTTGGCATATTGGTTAAGTTATCTAGCTTCAATTTCCTTGTCTATAAAATTGTAACAATTAAAACTACTTTACAGAGTTGTCAGAAGGATCATCTTACACTCATTAAGTATTCAATAAATGCTGTGTCCCTTCCCTTTTCTTCATCTCCTCTTTCTCACTGATTGCCCCGATGTGTATCAGCATACATCGAGTATATGTTGGAGCTGAAGTCTTGACTGTGAAGTACTGAACTATCTTCCTGTCAGGCAGAAGTAAGGTGAGGAAGACATCTAAGGGGAAGACATCTAAGGCTGTAAGGGGAAAGATGACTATTATCCTGACCACAAGGAATGTGAAGATCTCCACCAAAATCATGAGAAAATGAGCTATGAGGCATTTTTCCTGGCAAGCAAATGCTGCAGTTAAGTTGTTGTCCGAACAAGTGTCAGATGTCTGCTTTGACTCTCAGGTTTACACAGTCATACCACAACAGGGACAGGCAATTGACCTATGACAGACTACTGATGGCAGCAGAATGGTTGCTGCAGGTCCAGGACTCACAGCCTCATGCTACATCAGGAAAGGAGTAGGAAAATGGTGTCTTCCTTGGAAGACAGAGGAAGCTTTCCTTTCTCAGAATCTCAAGCAAATACCTCCTAACATTTTCCTCTTTCCATTTGAGCTATAGCCACTTCCCTGAATGAACCACTGTGGAGGATGCTGGTCCATTTAGGCCATTCAGGACTACTCCAGGCCATATGGCTGAGAATGAGACAGAGTTTTCCAAAGCAAACTCAGAATATCATTGAGAAGGAATATAAGCTAGGTGGCCAACCCAATGACAAGTGTCCTTGAAAATGCTGAAATTTTAAGTAGTATGAGTCTGATGTTCCCGTAAGTAATACTGTTTTATCCTTTTAGTGAAAATGCATTAGCAAAAAATTTTTTTGAATTTATGTATTCTTCATCCTAATTTCTTAAATAATTGATGTCTATTATATATATTTTATATCCCATATAGAAACTATAAATACTATGTTTCATTGATTCTAAGATGCACTTATTTTTCACATTTTCAAACCAAACCAAACCCACTGCCATCGGGTCAATGCCAACTCATAGCAACCCTATAGGACAGAGTAGAACTGCACTGTAGGGTTTCCAAGGCTGTAAATCTTTATGGAAGCAGACTGCCACATCTTTCTCCCGCAGAGTGGCTGGTGGGTTCAAACTGTCGACTTTTTGGTTAGCAGCCGAGTGCTTAAACCACTGCAGCACCAAGACTCCTTTTTCCCATAATACCTTCTTTAAAATTAATATGCATTTTATAATTAGTAGTTTATCATGGTTTAATTGGTAGTGTTTTTCTTCCTTAGCATTACATAAAATAATGGTGTATCTTACAGTTAAGGATGCTAAGATTTGATGAAATATAAACCGAAAAACCAAACCCACTGCTGTTGAGTTGATTCTGACTCATAGTGACCCTGTAGGATGGAGTAGAACTGCTCCATAGGATTCCAAGGCCATTACTATCTTTACAGAAGCAGACTGCCACATCTTTCTTCCACAGAGAGGCTGGTAAGATCGAATTGCCGACCTTTCAATTAACAGCTGAGTGCTTAACCGTTGCACCACCAGGGCTGCTTTGATGAAATATAGTGGTTCAAAAATAGGAAGTACATCCATTATTTCTTTATTGACTTTCTACAGAGCCAATAACTAAATGTTCTTACTGCTGCCGCTCTACTCTTCAGAAATTTTGTCCACCAGAGCTATTCAAAGTATGGTCTGGCACTAGCGCAAATCTGTGAATGTTTGTTATCTGCTGCAAGACAAGTATACAGACATTGAGAGTAAGCATTTGGAAACTTTTATAGCAATTTGATCTTGCCATACCATCCAAGAGCATGATCAGTGAGTTCATCTTACTGAACAGGGTGCAGACTAGTTGGAGTGTTGTAGAACTCACACTCCTAGCATCATGCCAGTCCTGGGCAGTTGGACCAAGTTGTGACTTGTGGCATATTAGGATTAGTTTATCAATCCTAACACTAAAGTATTTAAAAATCTGAGAAAATGTAACTATTTTTATTAATTGTTATTTTTGTCGTCACTTTAATTTTTAATCAAACCTGTTTAAAAATCCTTACAATGAGAGCAAAATAGTTCTTATCTTGCAGAAACACCAAGAGTTTGTTCTGTATTTCAAATATTCTCTACAGAACTTTTTTCCTCTTTAACCATCGTACTTCAGCTTGCAATAACAGTTGTTAATATCAGTTACTGTAGTATCACAATAATCCAAATTTAGGAAATTAG